GTTGTTCACATTGTCCATGGCATTGGCCTTTAAAGAGCCATCATAAGAATTTTCAATCTTATCTCTTGTGCTTGATTCTTCCTCAATACAAAGATATTTTTGTATATCTTTCAAAGAAAAATCTTCGAAATTGTGAATAATCTTCTTCCTTATCCTTTTCCAAGAATCAAGAAGTTTAGCAATAATTGCTCTCACTTAGAATTCACTTAGAATGTTTCGGGAAGTTCGATTTTCACCGCTTTCAGTTTGTTTACAATTATTTGCAACTCATGCACTTGAGGCAATAATGGTATATTATCCAAAAATTTGAAATCAAAATACTTAAATATTAAGAACTTTTTGGTACCTTCCTCCTCGGCTTCGTATTTGCTTTCTAGCGCGTACCAGATTTCTTTTGTCGGTGTAGTGTTAGTGTAGAGATCATAGAGGCGATCAGATAATGCATTTAGGATATGGTCATGACCTATCAATTTGTCCTCTTTCATTTCTTCCTTTCTACGCGAATTCCTTCAATATCCTTGTCAGTTGCATTGGGAATGGGCTCTAGTTTTGGATCAAGCACGTAGAAGATCTTCAAAGCTGTTAATAGAAATTTAAGTTTGTCTTGCCATCTTGTGAAATTTGCACCATCGAATCTATCCAAGCGTACTAGATCTTAAATTATCATTTTGATAGTAGCAAGTGTAGATTCTGTCTCCATTGCAATAATAGTAACAATAACGTTTGAGATTGTTGAAAAAATAATGGCAATGGAGAAGAAAAATTATAAAAGTATATCAATGTAGGCTTGAACACGAAATCAATCTCGCTGTCCTCAAACATTATTTGCCTCATTTCCAATGCTTTTTAAGGATTTCAACAAATAGTTTGTAGGATTAAACAAGTCTTGACAAGAAGAACACCAAAAAGCAAAGGTGTTTCTTCACAATGAACAAGTGAAAAATGAAGGATTATGTGATTAATTTTCTCAATATTGGAAGTATAACTTGGGGATAAATTTTAATGGAACTCAATATATCTTTCTTGCACTTGAATCACCTATTTATAGGCATTGACAAGTTTTTCACAAAATGGTGCAAAACAAGGATGAAAAGCTACCAATCTCAAATAAAAAATGTCAAAAAACTAACATAACGGTTAGTTTTGATACCCTTTTTTTCTTCGATTTTGAACAACAAATTAATTTCCAACAGCACCCTCTATCTCACATTCTGAATCAGCAATAGATCCTCGTGTGCTTCCTGAAGTCTTTACCAAGCTATCTACTCGCATTTTGCAACCAAATGTTTTAGATTGCTAATTAGCAACAAGCAATACTATCAATAGATGCTATCTCAGCTAAGGCACCAGGTGAAATCTGAAAGAGATGTCTTTTTCTATTACCCACTCTTAAATTTTGATCATATAAAGACCAAAGATTGCTACCTTAGGCATTGCAATTTCATATGTTATATCGTGGCAGGATACCCTGCAACCTAATGCTTTTTCCAAAGCACAGTGAATGGAAAATTGGTTTTGTAATCTTTTTTCAAGATGCAATATCTGCATGGAAAAATAAATTTTTTTGGAAAGAATTAAAAATGAATAACCTATTAACCTTCTGGTAGGGAAATCAGAACCGGATCTATTTAACTCTTAAATTTCATTGACTCTTGGATGTACAGTTTGGACTATTTTCAGCTTTGGTACAAATCGAATTTATAGGGGCATATGGCAGCAATATTATTACTTACCTCTTGCCTTGGAGAATTTTGAATACCAACATTAGCCCCCGTTTGGCCCCCATTTTCTAGAAATGAAAATGGGTGAAATAATATTTTTTGAAAAAATGAGTGGTTAAAAAAGAAAGAAAAGATTTCGATTTACATGTAATATTATTTTATTGAAGATTGTGTGGTTGAAAATAGGAGAGAGAAATCTCATATCCTAAAATAAAAGAGATCAATATGTTCACAAAAATTTGGTAAGCTAGTTTTATTCCTATGTTATACCTACACAACATGTTTAAGGTAGCAATCAGTGATATAAGAACTGACAAGAGATTGTGAAAAGGAAACTTCAGTGTATTTCAATCTAAATTACACAACACAGATAGTGTTTAATCAAGGGGAAATCATCTATTTAAGGATATAGACAAGTTTAACAATTATTACTTCAATAAAAAAATGCAGACGAGGCATAGTAAAACATCTTTACCAATTTCTATCGTAGAAGAGCTTCATCTGTAGAATGATCCAAATCATCTTCCTGAAGTCCTCTGCCATTTGGGGAGATGCCATTGCGAAAGCAAAACTCGTTAAGAAATTTTTAAATTCAACATAAGATACTTGCCAAATCAATCTATAAAAGAAAAGGTGAAATTGAAAGACAAATTTTCACAAATCTCAAGGAATGCTCCAACAAGCTCATTCGAGTATGGACGAAATTGAGGGTGACCCATGGTAGAACTATATGCACCTGGTTGACAGGAATGTTGTGGTGGTGCTCCATGATCGAGAGGGTGGCCGGATGTGGAAGTAATTGGGAAAAAAATCATGACTGCACTCACGGTTTTGGATGCGGTTGGTGTTGTTTCCGACGGTCTGGTGGGCAGGCAATGGTCAAAGGTTGTAGAGGGAGGTGAAGAGGTGTCGGTGGTGTGTGGGTTCGGTGGCGAGTGGTGGTTGTTATTGATGGAAGGAGGTGACAGATTGGTAGCTCAAGAAAGAGCAAGAATTTTGGGGGAAATGAAACCGTTTGCCATGTTTTCATATTTTGCGCGTTTGGGCTTTAAAATGCCATTTTTGTTGTTTTGAGTTTTCAGTATAATTTTTTTTTTTTAATTTATTTTCAAAAATGGAAAAAAGAATGTGTTTTCACTGTTTTGAAAAATCGAAAACAGAAAACGGATTGAAAATAGCAAAGAGAACATGTTACCCCTTAGCTTTTCTTCTTTTCTAGATCAAATGAGGATTTTCAAGATTCTATTTATTTATTTATTTCAGTAGTGTCATTGAAAATATATTGAATGTACAAAAAGAAAGGAGTAATATTCAAAATTTAAGAAATTTACGTTCATTAGGAACTTTACTAACATCAGAATACATATCAAGAGAGTTTTGAGATTTAATTTCTTAGGAAAAAAAAAAAAAGACTCCCAGTTAAAAGGTCAAATTACAATGAGTCAAAGGGTACCACTAACCATTTTTCATATTAAATTTGGGGCCAACTAAATTTATTTCTATTCGTGTTATAAATTTTTGACAGAGTTTTACTCTAACTATCGACCTAATTTGATTTTATTTCATTATGCCTACCCAATTTTATATAACATTTTATTATAGTCACCCAACTTCTTTTCACAATTTCACTAATTTTTAAAGGAGTAAAATGGTAATTTTGCATTTTATATATCAAATAAATTTTAAAAAACAAAAATAAAAGTTTTTTCAAAAAAAATTTTTAAACATTTTTTAAAATAAGTTTTTATTTATTTTATTTTTCCAAGTAACTTTTTTAAAATAAGTTTTTATTTTATTTTAAAAATCTTTTTTTTTTTCAAATAAGTTTTTCTTTGATTTTATTTTTTTAAGGAACGTTTTTTAAAGAAAATTTTTATTTTATTTTATATTTTAATTAACTTTTTTTAAAAATAAGTTTTTATTTTATTTTTTAAAATTTATTATATATATATATATATATCTCTCTCTCCATGTGTGTAATGCAAAGTTACAAATTTACCCATTTTTAAAATTAATGAAAATGGTGAAATGAAGTTCTATGGTCATGTTGAAACATTATATGAAATTGGTGGTCATGGAGAAATAAAATCAAATTGGATGGTTATTGTGACACTAAGTATTAAATTGGGTGATCATAGTGAAACAAAATCAAATTAAGTGGTCATGGTGACACTAACTATAAAGTTGGATGATCATTGATGAATTTAACCTCTAAATTACATTATCAACTTTTTCCATTTCATTTTTATCCGCAATCTTTTGTTAATTAACTTATATTGTCCCAGGATTTCATCCGAAAATCCGTTTAAAAGGAATTAAAAAGTCTTCTTAGAAACTCGTATTTCTAAATGAGCAAAAAGAAAAAAAAATTGCGATTAATTATTTGTCCCTCATTTTAAAACATACTAACAATTTTTTGGACGAAAATCATTATTTAGAGATAAAATGTTTAATTGAGCTCGAGTTAAGTCAAATCAACCCTGTCCTGATTTAAGTTTAATAAAGCTCGAGTTAAGTAAAATTGACTAAGCTTGTTTCAAAAGTTTCATGTTTCTTTTGTGCAATAATTTAATAGCTTGTTTAGTGTTGATTTTGAAAATCAATTTTTAATTAAGGATGGCAATGGAGCGGGTATGGGATGGATCGGCCATTACCTCTCTCGTCTCGTGGGGTATTTTTGTTATCTTACCCCATAAAGGATTCGGGGCGGGGTTTATAACCCCATTTATTATTATTATTTTTATGTCTTTAGTTAGTAAATATTATTAATTTTTTACCAATTTATTAAAAACAATTTATGTTCTCTTTCAAAATAATGATAAATCTATTATTTTTGTTTGATAAAAAATTAAATTTGAAATTAACATTAAACCGGACGGGAATTATGTTTCCCATACACATTCCATATCCACTTCGGGGCAATAACCCTTGCCCTGTACTTGTCCCATGTACTTAGGCGGGTAATCCTCGCCCCATTCGGGGTGGGGCCTCACGGGTGTCGGGTTGAACGAATTTTCTTGTCGTCCATATTTTTAACCGTTAGCTTAAAAGGTGGGTCCCACTTATGAGGGAAGAAGTCAAAAAAGATGGCTTACTGTAGTAATGGTCAAAAAATTAATTTTTTGGCTAAAAAAATTAGCACCAAACACTGGATAATTATGAATTGAGCTTAGAAAATTTTTGGATGGAATATTTACGTCATATAGAATATCTTCACTCTCAATAGTTATATACAAGTCTATAGAACATGTAACGGCAATAAGTGATTGAGTTCACTAATTCCTCGTATAAAATTATTGACTATAGTGATGAATTTCTGAAATATACAGTAAATTGCACAAGGTAAATAATCTAGAGAAGCTAGGATTAGTAAATACAGGAGAATGTGTGGGGTAATTGCCAATACAGATAGCAATCTTCCTGCTCCCCTTCCAAACCTTTAGCTTCAAAGAAAATTTGAGACTTGCGCATGATCATTTTTGGCCTATAGTCTCTAATTTTTCATTTCAACGTAGTAAGAAGAGATCAAACAATATGCAAACATACTGAAAAATCTACCGCGTCTTTGTATAAATACAAGAACTCTTTCAGTTTGCAGATTGTTGATTTGATTCTGATCATCTGCCGCTAAACGTTTCTGGATTTTCTGCTTCTGTTTGATAAGACGACGTTGCAGTTTGATTCATTTGAGGCCACCTAGTCTGATTTAACACTACTTGGCTACTCATTTGATTCTGATTTGTAACATCACGTCCACGCCTTCTCCATCTCAGGAACTCTACGAGCATAGAACTTCCACTCATTGCAACACCAAAACCCACAAATGTTGAGAGAAGAATTGATAAAACTGGTTGCACATGAACCTACCAGTTGCAAAAGTAACAAATTAGACAGTAAAATAATGATCAAATTCACTTTTTTCTTTCCTCTTTTGTACTGTTCAATTTTGTATAGTCCACCTCAACAGACATTCAAAGTGTGAATGCAGATATATGATACTTAATTCTAGAAAGTTAAATTAACCTAGAAAGACTCTGAGGTATAAAAACTAGTGGTGGATCTAGGAATTCATGTGAGCACGACCACCCAATGTAAGAGAAAAAGAAATATTTCCAGCGGAGCCAACACTAGCGGTCGAAGGGGTTCGCCGGGTGCTGGCTCCACCCCTGATAAGAAGTATTGATCCTTACCAAGGAGTAAAAGAGATGAGCAAATAGAACAACGAGAGCAAACTGAACGGATGCGTATACCCACACAAATCTTCTCTTTACTACAAATAAAAATATTTAGTTAGAAATAATCATGAATACGAAACTAGGAGGATATTGCACCAGATTTTTAAGTTCAAATCTACAAACCATTTGGAACTAAAATTTTAACATACCCATGGTTGAAGAGGTCATAGATGAGAGAAGACCAAGCACACAAGAATATGGAAGCGATATGGCTATTGCACTTGCACCCATCTTATTAATCTGCAAATAAACTAAAACATAAATGAAGAACCAACAGGAAGATCTCAATCTAATCAAAAGTTGTTAATCTTACCAAGAGCTGCTCAAGAAAACAAAAGTAGGCCAGCATACCAACAATGACAAGAATCGGCACTTCTTGCCAAACTCTGTTCCACAAAATAAAAAAAAGTAAAAAATAAAAAATCTTCAGGCAGCAGTCTATTCATATACTTGACATGTTGAGTTCTCGACGTTTTCAAGGGAAAAAGTTCAAAGAAAGTGGGACCGGTTTACTGGACGACCCACACGACAAACAAAAATAAGAAGCTGAAAGATAGTACTGTTTAAAGCCAGAATAATGATGTTTATTTGTTTGACGGCCGTAGAAAAACTTTCTAAGAGAATTTCTGTCAACTTCACAGAGAGTTTAATACTATGCACTTGCCTGTATCCATTGATTTCTATATGTCGAAAGCTAGTTGTTCTAGTATTGCGATTTATAGTACTTTGGATACGCAGAAGTGTGACAGGTAGATTTCGAACTTCTTGCTTGCAAACATCACACATCTTGTTGCCTTTTATGCTAAACCATTTTACAAGACATTCTTGATGAGCCAAAGCTAGTTCACCTTTGCAGCTACATTCCATCTTGAGCATTTCTCCACCTTCACATAGTTCAACAAAGCATATTCGACAAACAGCCTCTTCTTCAGGTATATCTTCACCATCATCTTCATTATTCTCTGGTTTGAAGAGGTTATCAAAAGATAGAAACAGCAATGCCATAAATGGGCTATAAAAAAAACATTTGGACATGCAGCCAACAAAAACTCCATAAACATTTTCTATCCAACTACAAAAAATTGCGAGCAGTAAAAGCTTGTTTGCAAATTCAGCAGTCGAAATAAGCAGAAGATATTAAAAATCTGTTACTGAAATTAGGTCTAAATGAAACAAGAAAGGCTAGGAGTGAATATGGACACAAGGCATGTGCTATGCTACACAAATTTGATCCACAAATGCTTTTATCAATTATAATTCAATGTTCTTCATAGAAAAAAATGTTTTACTGCTTTATGTATATATAGAAGTATAAATAGCTTCCAATGTCTAGTGATCTTTACTGTAACTGATGACACTTGTAAGACAAAATTACCAGATGGTCCAGGTGTGGTCACCGTTGACACTTCTGAAATGCCATCCTTCACTCGAGGAGTTGAGGGAATCACACGAAAGAAGGAATCAATTTTCCGGGTGCTTTTGTCTTTGTTGAGGTCTGGGACAGAAAGTGATCTAGACAAATGCCGCTGTGCAAATTTTGTCTGCAAGAAACAGTCACATAAATGAACATTTCAATCTATGAACCAGACGATTAAACTAATAAGCTGTATGAAACTAAAAAATGGGAAGAATAACGGTTATCAAGTATCTCAAGATTCTATTGTTTAATATTTGGCTCCCAATAATTTGGTACACCGAGATCAAGTGCCACTTAGGGATTGGTGTTCGAGTCAAATCCTTGTAAAGTTTTTTTTTTTCCCCAAATAACAACATCAAGCGTTAAAGAACTTACATCAAGGGGTGCAGATCCGTTTATATGTCCATCACGGACAGAGTCTGGATTTGAATGTACAATTGGAGTTACAGGTAAGGATGTCGTGCTCTTCATGCGAGGCGTGAAAATTTTTGTTGGTGACCATGACCTCAATATGGATGGACTATCTTGCTTCCTGGTAGTTGACAAACCTGAATCAAGGTTGCCAGCCTTTTCTATATCGGAATTAGAACTTCGGTACTTGAAGCTTAGTTTTGGCAGCAAATTCTTGATGGATGGTCTGGCTTTGGATGAAGGATAAGGAGATCCACTAAATTTTGCATCAGAAGGACTAGGCGTTAAAAGGAAATTCACTCTTTTGGGAGTGGGAGTTGGAGTTGGAGTCGGCGTAGGAGCCATCTTTATTTGAACAAACTCTTGACGGGATACCTCCAATGTTCTGCTAGGTATCTCCAAGAAAAGGTTCTGTTTCCTCCAATGTTTAACGTTTGATGATTCTCTTGTTATCCCGGAGGATTTCTCTTCCTGAAAACCAAAAGAACATGGTTAGTTATTCAAGCTGTCGTTCAGTAAATCTTGTAAGCATCACAAAGGAAATTTACTTATAAAGCAGATGAACTATAAGCATTTAATTTGTTTATAGGAATATGCATGCTAGGACCTAGATATCAGGAGTAATTAGATTGCAAAAATTAGCTGTTGCATCAGTCGACTGAGAGGAAATTGACGCTGCAGCACAACACTTCGAATACACACACACACACACACACTAGAAAATCGCAGCTTTCTACCCTTTTTCCCTTATAATCTCGAGATCTGACTTCCTAATTATTAAGTTTAATCGTCTCAATTCTATCCGTAAACTGCACTAAATTTTAAAGCTATCATTAGTGAATTGATATGCTAGTACTCTGTAGTAATCAGCATTCCAGTAATTGTAAGACCTTTTCTCTGCTCGACTTACTCAACCAGAAAACTATCAAATGTGTGTATCTTTCTCAATCCTAGATTATAAGGAGTATTTCCACATTGAAGGCACCTAAAGTAATTTACAATCTGCTCTTATAAAAATAAATATGAAGTTAATTCTTTACTGCAGGTGTTTCCCATTTAAAAAAATAAAATAAAAACTGAGAATTTTGTGAAGCTCAGAAATTAAACATCAGAAATGCCTTTTTTCGAAGTCTTGGATCTTTCCCATGTGAAGTGTGTCAAACAAGACCCTCCATTCTACCCCCAAATTCTTGAAAATGACAAAGAACAAAGCTCGTTAGTCATCTGCGAGCTTTTAGACGATGTGGTTCAACTTTGGCCAGGAGTCAGTTTAAATCTTGCCTCAAAATTTAGTTGGAAGAAGAAGAAATGAAGTAGCGATAAGCTAAAATTTTCAACAGAATCATGTTTACACACCAAAGAACCATAGATGATTCGTTCAAGAAACTGCAAAACAGAGTAAATAGAAAAATAAAATTATCAAAGACAGACAAAATGCTTCTAATCATGACAAATAATACTACTAACTAACTTCCTTCTTTCCTTCCTTCTTTTCATTTTTTCTTTTTTTTTTTTTTTGTTCTTTGTAGATTCTTCACAACAAATCAATGATTAAAGAGCATCTTCCAGAAACAAAGTGAAGAAAGAGCAAATACTTACCTCAGGAACTGAAATTGTAGCTTCTCTTTCATCCATCTCAGTTATGGACTTGTTCTTGTCTTCACTTTCCATCATATCTCCACTTAAACTGTTAAGCACACTCTACTGTCATAAAAATTCTTAAAGGAAGAGCAGGCGTATATTGAGAGTGAGAGAGAGAGAGAGAGAGAGAGAGAGATGTGTGAAGATGACAGTCAAGTATTGTTAAATAAGTTAGATAAGTACAATACAAAGTCCTCGTCTGCCCGATTCTTTCCAAATTTTAATGGCTGAAATAGTATTTTTTGAAAAATATGTGGTTGAAAAAAAATGAAATTCTTTTGATTTACGTGTAATATTATTTTATTGAAAATTGGATAGTTGAAAATAAGGGAGAAAAAATGAGAAGAAGAATGGGGCTAAATGTAGGCAAAACATTGTAGGTCACATTTTGTACCAGAATAGTGAAGCTTGGTTATTTGATCCATGTTGTGTGTTGACTTAGAAAAATCCTTAGTGGTCTATGATCCGTCGAAAAATAACATCAACGTGTGGGTGCACTCTTTGTGTTGTGATTGTAAATTTTAATAAATTTCTCATTTGTCACTCATTTATGGCACTTTGCTTATTTCTTAAAGTGATTATTTCTAAATTAAACTTCCATTTTCAGAAGAAGACGCCATTCATTTATGAAAAATATAAAGGATTATTAAAAGTCCGAATGGCTGAAGTTGAACAACTACTTTCAGAGTAACAAAAATAAAAGCGACAACTGTGGAGTGGAAAAATTGGAGTCGGAAAGAGAATTCCTCACTTCTTTTATTCATTCATAACTATTCATAAGACTTTTATCTCACATGATTTCTAGGCGATAAAAGAAGGAAAAACTCAAGTTGTAATAATATTTTTTATGGACAACAGTCTCGATTCGATTCGATCTGTCCCTTGAAAGGTTTTTTGAGCACTCAAAAAGAAGGCATTGGAATGATTAGAGCAGTCTATTTCATGGGAAGACAGGTAAAGATGTGGGCATATGTGTCAACCACTTTTACTGGATTCAGTTGACAATTGTCAAACGTTGGTGCCATTGAAGACGTGTACTGCATTATGCCAGCATGCATCACATTTTGCTTTGTTCATTATCATGCTTTGCTATTTCAATGGTTAGGCAGTGTAATACCGTTTTCTTTCAATTTCAAGCCTAACGTAATGACGTAAAGAACAAATCTCACAAACACCCAAATTTGTTGATTTGAAATATCAAATACCAAGAAACTTCTCAAAATTCTTTATTAAATTCAAGACTAAAAGCTTGTATTTAAAATAGTAAATAAAATTTAGGTAATAACTGAACTCTTAAATAACGACTAGCTTTAGATAATAATAAGAATTAAAGATATCGACTAATTGTAAAAATCATTTAAAATATAAAATTTGGGATTTCATCTTAAAAGGTTAATCATGTCAAGAGTAGTAGTTCAAACTCTTATAAATTGGTCCATATTTTTATTTTTATTTGATGTAGGATTATATCCCTTAACACAGAAAAATGCATCTTCGAAGCCCTAAACGATGGAATTTGACTGAAAATAGGACACTCTGAAAAAGTACTTCTTTCGACCCGACTCCCACTTTTCCATGAACTTTTCTTCTTTTTGCATTATATCACGTAAGCAACATATTTTGATATTATTGGTATTGGCATAGGTGGTTTGATCATTTCACCAGTATTTCTTGTAGTTTCTTCTATTCTCAAGTCTTCATAAGATATCAACTTTGACATACTCATTCAACGGCATGAACTCGTCTAAGAATCCGGTCAATTTTCTATTACCAAATATCAATAATTACACTAAGAGTCTGTTTGATTACAAAAATGAAATTTGGGTGGAAAGAAAACAAATTTCAAGGAATTGAATTGCCTAGAAATTGTTTTATTGGAAATTGTTAATTATTGTGTTTGATTGATATAATTTTTCACGTGAAAAATGTTGAAATAAAAGTGTTTTTTTGTGTTCGTTTGACTTTTTTTTACAAAATTGTCAATTAAAGGGATAGAATTTACTGATATTGGGGAAAAAATTTGTTTCTATTACCAAAAAAAAAAAAATCAAGAAAATTATCTATCTTTTGGTATTCTTTTGACTTTGTTTTACATAAAAATTGTTAATTAAAGAAAAATATTTTTTTACAATTAGGGATAGAAATTGTTTCTATTGTCACCAATTAAAAAAAAAAAAAAAAAAATCACCAGCAAGCCTAGAAAACCAATTCCCATGAAAACCAAGAAAATGTCTATGTGGCAGGCAAACCAAGAAAACAAGTTCCATGGAAAAACATTGCCATCATACATGGCAAAAGTGAAAATGTGGAATTCATCTTCCATTTTCCATGAAATTCCTTGCCAATCAAATATGGCCTAATTTCATCACACCATTACCAATCACTCAGTCCATACAACAGACACCACGTTCGAAACCCTCTCAACTTCAATCTTCAAATCACGAACAGTACTCATAACCAGAAAGTTACACAATATCAGTGATTTTCATTCCAACAATTCTATAAATACAAAATTTTCCTACAGAATTTTTACAGAAAGACAACCGTCTTCCTGTATTTCGCTGTTGCCAAAGACAAAAAACAATTTTTTTTTGCAACAGCAAATCGGGAAGAAAAAAATATGTACTTACATATTAATTGTTTTCATTCTCTCAAGTCAACGGCGACAACAGTGCCATTGGTTTTGTTCTAAGACACTATTTATAAGTAGAAAAATGATTGCCGCCCCCCAGGGCACTTCTCCACTGGCAAAGGAAGGGTACTTTCAAGGCTAGCAGTTCAGAGGTCGTGGGTTCGATTCGTGGGGCTCTTGGAAGGCAAGGCATATACTGGTAGGCAGGAATGTCTTGGAAGGCAAGGCGCAACGTGTGTTGACCCATTAGGCACTTTAGCAGTTCAGTTGGAGAGGCGCTCGGACCCTGATCAATAGGAGGCACATCCCGCGGTTTAATTGGTCTGTGTGAAGAGAGGTCGGATCACAGATCCAAGAAATAGTCGTCGAAGGCGGACACCTTGATAAAAAAAATAAAAAATAAAAAATGATTGCCATCGAAAATAAAATAAAAACCCACAAAGCTACAAAAATTCTTTCATACCTATAATCCTCAATTTTCAAGGATGTGATTCAATGTAATAACAGAGTAAGTAAAAGGTCTTCTGTTGAAGTTTCACATTTCACATTCATGCAAAATTTCATTTGTCAAGTTTCTGACGAGAAATTGAATCTATAGTAAATCGATGAAACATGCTAAAAATAAGATAGAATTAAATACGAGTAACTACTGCGTCTTACGTAGATAGAATTAAATACGAGTAATTACTGACGTAAAAAAAACCATTATCTTTTACTTATTATAATATTCAAATTTCTGAAACTTTTATCAACTATAAGGTGGTGGCCAAACTTGATATGGGCGGTCCTACATCATGGGAGGATTGAGGTGATTTTTGATCAATTTGTGGTTGAGTATATTTATAGCTCATGAAAGTGTGAAACATCACACAAATAAAGAAAGTAGGCAGAAAGAAGAATTCTTCTGTGCCCACAGATAGGTAGTGATTGAGAAATTATGATAATTATCATGTCAAGATCGTACCATGCACTTATATCGAATTTAACTCGCAGTAGAAAGATCAGTATAATGCCTATAGGGCCCATCACACTATTTTACTTATTTGAATACTTGATATTTGCTTAAATAAACTGTCTTTTTTCAAAAATTTAAACCACATTTAAATTTTATCTTCCTCAAATTTCTTCAGTTGTAAATAAAGTAGTTTATTTAACGTGTATGGAAATAAAAACTTTTACTTCAAAATAATTATGAGTTACTTTTAAGCTTATCTAACAAGCTGCGTAGATTTTCCGAAAAAGATATTCACCTTTTGTGCGATGATTTTGTTTAACTACGAAAATGTTTAGACATTTCTAACCAGCTTGTTCAAATTAGATTGACATGTCAGAAAAATGAATTTTGAATAAACGATCTTCATGTGCTCTCAGCTTTAATTACTTTATTGAACATCTTCATCAAAAAACTTAAACGGCTAAAAAGGGAACACATTTAACTATTTAAATTCTATCTTTACAACAAATTTCATCATCTTGGCATCAGACTGAGGTCATGAAACTCTCTGTACAAAATCGTGAGATTATTTGACAAGAAAATTGTTCTTTGTTAATTCACAATAATGATGTGACAAGATTCTTTCAAAGGTTTAGATGGTCGAGGATTTTCCAAGTTTTTTATACAGAAAAGAATGTGTTTAGAATTCTATCTTGGATAGAAGTCATAATATCCCACGTAGAAACATTGTTTAAAGATTTGATTGGAACTCTACTTTTGCTTTCTTTTAAGATGCTTACACTTTTATCTCGTTCGTGAAAAAAAGTATATAACTCAACTTTCCAGCTGTTGGGAATGGGAAGCGTATATCAACTTGGCCAAAGTCCATTCAAATTTGCACTAATTCATTCATCACTGATTTATTTGAAAATAGGGCGGGTACAAAATACTGATTACTTGTTGTATACACTGGATTTTGATATCAGATAAAAAAATTCAAGATAGTATATTGTTAATTGTATTTTATAATACCGCATACAAATATACCATAAACATAGAACTTACTTTTGAAATGGAATAATGGACAAATTGAACAATACTGTGATTTTTTTTATTTTTATTTTTTAAATTTTAGTGTCCAGACAATAAAAGTTGTTTAGTCATTTTTTGTTATTCACACAACTCGATGAATTTAGTAGATCTTTTTTATGATTAGTAAGCTTAGACCAAAACTATCAAATTTTCACAGTGCGTTAGTGCGATGTTTGGCTGTTCATGAACAAGCTGTACCTACCCATTCTTTTTAGGATTCAATTCAGTAATGCAGTTCATCCAATGATAAACCTAATTCAAATTATAGAGCTACGAAACAATAAAACCCGAGTCAACAGAAACCTCACCTCTTTCTCTCTGTTGATTCTATTGTCTCCTTTGGTTTTACATGTTTCTTTTGTGGGTTGTTGTGCTCTTTGTTCTCTTTCCCGGTTCTTTTGATGGCTGAGCCTAATTCGGTCTGTCTTGGGGGG